CCTAAACAAAAAGAGGTAACACAATTTTAACGTTTTCCCTTCTGTTTAAGGGGGGATGTCATTGGTGAGTAGCTACTCCCGGGAAGGGCCTCTGAATAAAAAGTAGCCACCTTTATAATGCCTCAGACTTGGAAGACTTTGTCAGATTTATAAACAATGCCTCCCTTAGGTTTGAGGCTCTCCAGGCCACTCTCACCCCTCTGTGGATTTTGCCTGTAGCACTTAAAGCCAGTTCCCTACATTTTGAGCAAGAAAGTTGTACCTTGTGGAACTTATTTGGAGAGATATCCTTTTTGGAATGAACCCTGTTCCCTGATCCATATATAATAAATAATCTACTCCTCATAGTTTGAAATCTTATCCCAGAAAGCTGAGTTCCAGGTGTTAAAAGCGGCAGTTCAAAGGGAGCTCATACCCTGTAGCCTGTGAGCAGGAATCGCAGCCCTGCAGCTCTTTAGGATTTTCGATACAGCTTTTGAGTTTTATCTATTAAATCATGGTAGGCAGGTTGTTGGGACTTTTATTTACCAGGCTTCTGTTACAAGAAAAAGCAGTTATCTACCAAAAACGCAAATCATTTATTACCAGTGTCGATTTTACCTTGTTCCAAGCAACAAATTACGCATACATACTCGTCTTCAACTCTCTTTCCATTGTGACCACATTATAGAAATTTCCTTTTCCTGCCTTTTAAAAAAGCTATTAATTCCACTGTTCTAATTGGCTTCTCAAGGGTGGGTGGCCAAACTTGGCTTCTTGGGATACAGACTATGATGCCAAGTTCAAAAACAGAAGGTCCTCTCTCAGAAGGACCCTGGAGTTGGTTGTGTGCTGAAGCGCTTTGCTGTGTGTTGATTTTTCGGGGGTGCTGGCTGGGTTCCATCCCTTGGTGGGCCTGGGATAGAAAAGGCTTTCTTCTGTGTCAGTACACGAACCCCGTCAGGACAGGTAAAGTCATTCAGCACTTCTTTGCCTGGATGCAAATTAAGCCTGGCAATGAACAAGTTAACATAACGCAGCCTTTATGCATTCGTCTTAAAGTGCTGTATGCTACTCTCAAGTCAGGACTGGTCAAAGCCGGTCTTTCCTAACTTTCAAAAGGGGAAGTAGTACACGTTCAGACCCGAGTAAGTGCAGCACTTTGATGGGAAGAGCAGGTAGGCAGCTAGCAGGCAGCCCGCACGTTTGTTATTGTTCACATCATCTAAAGGTAAAACCTACGGAATTTTTTTTTTTTTGCTGATTTTTATAGCAGGACTTACATTTCATTAAAGCCCCAGGAGACTTTATAGCAATTATTACTTTAGTGCTCCATTAAGATCCTCCTGTTACATGTAGGGCAGCTCGTTTAGCAAATTCATTTTGAATATAAGGTATTGCTTGTATGTGTACATATGTGTGTGCATGTGTTACTTGTACACGCTCTATCATCTGAAAACTCCTTTACCTTCTTAATTATCTCATTGGTCCCAAAAATGTTTTAACCCTGGTAGTGACATTATTTGCTTCTAACATTACTTGTGGGTGTGTGTTCATATTTGTGTGTTTGGGTGTTTGTGGATGTATGTGTGTAGCCCAGAAGTCAGCATTGGCTATCTTCCATCTTTTTGGGGGGTCTTTTTGAGACAAGGCCTCCGTGTAGCCCCAGCTGGCATAGAACTTACTATGTAGATCATGTTGGCCTTGAACTCACATACTCACAGAGATCCACCTGCTTCTGCCTCCCAAGTGCTGGGATTAAAGGCGTGTGCACCATGCCTGGCATTCCATCTTATTTTTTTAAGACAGAGCCTCTCAGGGAACCTGGAGCCACAGGGATCCTCCTTTTTCTGCCTCTCCACCTCTGAGATTATAGGCATGCATCCAGCTTTTTATGTGGGTGCTGGGATCCATACTGGATCACCTTCCTAAAATGGAAGCACTTCACTGCTTTCTTTCTAACATTATTTTTAAAGATATTAAACAAGTTATAAAAGTTGAAAGGATAGTTCACTAGATTTTATCTAGATTTACAAATGGCTAACAACTTTTTACACACGTTCCATTCCCACACTGCACACACTCAGATGCATTATTAGCGGAATGTTTTTGAAATTGCAGTCTTTGTAACCAACAACACCTTTAACTACTTCAGCATATATTTCTCCCAAAGCTATATTATTATTTTTTTAATTTTATTTATTACTTTGTGTGTCTGTGTGTATGCATTTGACTTCTTGCATGCCATGGCATACATGTGAAGGTCAGACAGCTTGCAGGAGTCAGTTCTCCTTCCTCTGTAGGAGTTCTGGGAATCAAACTCAGGTCCTCAGACTTGGAGGCAAGTGCCTTTACCTGCTGAGCCATGTCGTTGGCCCAGAGATACATTCTTTTACATTCTTTCAGTACTACTATTTGTCATGATACTAAAGTTGAAACACTAGAGATATTGTCCACATTAAATTTAGCAATTTCCTAGTATTACCTTAATTTTTTTTTTAATGGAATCTAGTCAATCATCACGTATTGCGTTTAGTTTTATTCTTTTTAGACTCTTATTCTTTAATCTCTCTGCTTTTTTGGGGTTTTACTTTTTCTTTATGCTTGTTTGCTTAGGAAAAGTGGCTCAATGTATGTTAGCTAGATTCATCCAGTGGACCATGAACAAGGGGTTAGTTACTTAACTGTGTCAGTGTCCTGAAGTCTACATTGGGGCCTAGAGTTTTGAAGTCAACTAGGGATATCCCTGTTTTGGACATGCAAATTTGACCAATTAAAGTCAGTAGACTGCCAGGCCTGGTGGTGCATGTCTTTATTCCCAGCACTTGGGAGGGGAGGCAGAGGCAGGAGGATCTCTGTGATTCGAGGCCAGCCTAATCTACATAGCAAGTTCAGGACAGCTGGGGCTACAGGGAGATCCTGTATCAAAAAGACAAAGAAAAAAAAAGTCAATAGAAACATACTCACTTCTTCTTTGAAATATACAGTGACTCAGTCAAATTCTCTTAGCTTCAGTGTCTATAAAACGAAGATTCATGTTTAATCACAGAAATCTGGATGAGGATTCTCATACTTTTATTGCCTTTCCAAGACATTCTTAAAAAGACACTCAGGGAGCAAATGTAGAATTAGTGACATTACTGGTGAAATTTTCTCAACTATGTGCAGTCCAGGCTGGCCTTGAACTTTCAGCAGTCTTCCTGCCTCAGGC